TCTCTGCCATGTTGTATTTCCAGCAGACTAATTATGTATACAAAACACGTACATTAATTGAGAAGAGTTCTGTAACCTCCGTTCCTTCATAGCCTTATGAAACTCGGAGTGCTTTTTGGCAAAATTTTTGTTTGTTTTATTTAATTAAAGTTATAAAATCTTAGCAGTGGGGCGTGTTCGTCTAGTTTGATGTGTTTTCGGAAAGATAGTTCTATCTTTTAAACTTCACTTCGTAATTATTTTTCTTAAATATATTTCTTGTGAAATATCCATACTTTGAGAAATACTGTGAGACATTTTGAAGCTGGTTTACTTAGAAGCTAACACTTGCAAAGTTTCACTGCAAAATTTATAGCTTGCTTATAACATTGATGGTTTTACTATTTTTATTTTATTTTACTATTTTTTAGAAACGTCAGAGGAGAGATGAATCATGTAAGTTGTCTGCAGAAGGTGTGTTACATATTTCTCTTAATTGTAAAAAATACTTCAGTCAGGTTGCAAATATTCTGTCTGTTGAAAAATGATGGATTCATTTATTAAGCTAAGCCCTTGGTTCCATTTACCATTTTCTTACGGAGGTGTGTGGGGGAAAAGAAGTTAATAATAAGCAGAATCACTAGTCCCAGGTAGATGCGAGCAAAAAGCCTATCATTTTGTGTACTTCAGAGGACTTAAAGAGAAGCTCCGGCTGTTTGGTAGGACTTCTGTAATCTCTGTGGCAAGAAAAGGTGCGGCCAGAGAATTACTAGCAAAATAAGATTTCTGCAGGTGAGGGAAGGAGGTCAGGACTACAACATTCACACGTTGTTGTCCTGGTCAGAGGAATTGATTGTAGCAGGAGGATGTATGTCCTTGTCCAAAAAGCATTAAAATCTCTAGAAATCTAGTTTTCATTCAGCTCCCAGAAGAAATGTCCCTCTACAGCAGAACCCCACCACTCTTGCGTGGGACCTGGGTGAAGACTTGGATTGCAATGTGGGTCTCCACTCAAATGACCAAACAGTGCTGTTAGCATTACTTATGGAAGTGTAAAACCAGATTGTTAAGCATCTGTCCTTAAATTGTAGAGGGAAGGCAGGTAAATATGTGAACACATCAGTCAGTAATTCTCTTATAAAAGCAAACAAACCTCTCCACTTAATGTATGTGCAAGGTAGTTTACAGCTGTAAGAGATGTCTTGGCACTTGAAAATTTGGTGAGGGAATCTGATGGTTTTGCTTTTGTTTTACGAAATAGATAAAGATGATCAGACAGTCTTTGGAAAATAGAAGTGAGGAAGGTGAAAACAATGTGTTGTTTCTGTTCTAGCATTAATAATATTGTTTTTACAAAACCCAAACCATCTAGGTTGAAAAACTTATCTTAATTATTTTGGCTTTGCTTGTATAAATAAGCTAATAATTGTTTTATTTGTCACCTCATTTTTATTGCTTTTGAAGGTCCTACTGTGATTCAGCAGATAGATACAGATGACTCAGAAATGCTGTTATCTCAGAATGCAGACAGTAAAATACAGAAGAAAAAAATGAATTGGGTTTCAGGCTCATCTAATGACATGCAGACTAAAAAACCAGCAACATCAGACGTTTTTCCTTTTATGGATCACTGGAATGCTCAGATTCAGAAAGTTTCTCTCAGACAAATAATTTCCGAAGAAATAGCTATGCAGGAGAAACAGGACTTGGTATGGATAGCACCAGTTTTTTACGCAGTTTAAATTCGTTACTATTAATGAAGCAGAATGTGTCTTATCTGGTGACTCATCTTTGTGCTGCTGATTACAGCCTGAATTCGTGAGACAAATGCATGCCAAGTAGTATTGTTGATTACTGTGATACAGGAGTTTGCTTGTGGTAGGTGTTTGTGTTTTAAAAATTAAATCTCATTTTAAAATGTAACATTTTGATTGTTTCACAAACAGATCATGGTGTGTTTCACTATACAGGTTAGCATTTGTGTTTGGTTGAATTGTCTTTTGATTGCTCACCTAAAAACAAAGATCAGTGTGATTTCCCACACTTTTTATTGGGAAAGTGATATCAAAAAAAGTTCTTAATTAGCTCCATGCCTTGTTTGTTTAGAAGTGGATTGAATTGATTTTAATGTTTTTTGTAAGGAGAACCCACAACATTCCTAACAGATCAGACATTAAAAGAAGTACTTGAGGTTAATCTCAAACAGATTTCTGTACCCACTTGTCAGAAAATAGTAATTTTTCAAAGGATTTTTACTAATACTGTATCTTCCACACAGTTCCCATACCCTGTCTGGTTGGCTTGTGCATAATACTACCCTCTATGGCCCGGCAGTTGTTCAGAACAGGCATTTTTTATTGGTAATTGTCTCTGATAAGGGGCTGTCCTAAAAAAGAGGAGCTTTGTTTCTACTGGTATAGAAAGTTGGGTGGATTAGCCTGTACTTTGAAAAAATGGCTTGTGGATTCTTTCTTTGAACTGCATGTATGTGGCTTCCTGATAATAACAACTGTGATGTCCATAGCTTTTTTTACAGTTTGGATTCATGGAGCTTGGCTTTGTTTTGATGACTTTTTTTTTTTTTTTTTAAATCTGAGTATTGGAATGTCAGTCCAATTTATTCTGGGCTATAATTATGTTTTCTTCTCAGCATGACTTCACAAATATGAGTATTTATTACAGCTTCAGAAACACCAAAACAAAATTGTTTACGCTGTTTAATAATAAAATGTTGTTTCAACCCCAGGCCCTCAATATGGAGTAGAGAGGTGGACTTTGCACAAGCTTAGCATTGGACTAGACAGACTAGCAGGGAATGCACTCCAAAACTTAAATTCCTCCTAAAAAATCCTCATTTTGCTCTGTCCAAGTTATGAGGGAGCTCCAGAGGAGTCACTTCAAATGACTGCAGAGTACTGCAGTGGTGTATAATAGAACTCACCTGTCCCTACTTTATTCTCATCAAATCAGTGTCACAGGCTGATATTGGCATGTTGTCATTGCTGTGGGTGCACACCTACTGAGTAGATTTTTTTTTTTTTTATCTTAACAAATAACAGTAAAGTTGGATTGGCTCTGCTGTTACTATATTTTGTTCTAATCAAGAACTTGTAATATTTTTCCTTTGTCTTCTGGGTAGAATCGTGTTCCTTCTATGGCTAGAAAAGACTGTGCCGCTAAACTAAAGGAGAAGCAACTGTTTGAGATGTTTCCAACTATTAATCAAAATTTCTTAATGGATGTCTTCAAGGACAACAAGTAAGAAATCTTTAAAGTTCTTTGTAAAAATGGTACTTGGTAATACTTTATAGTGCACAATTACTGTCTTAAATATTGATGAAGATATTGATATTAAGATACTGCTAAAGAATGTCTTTTTCCAAACTAGCACACTTTTTGTAGATCTAAATAAAGGCAAAACTAGCTGGTCTTAAAAGCAAAAAGGGCATAAAAACTGTATGTATAGATTTGCTTGGGTTTTTTGGGAGTAGACAGTTTCTCTCATTGGGAGAAAAATGTCTCTGGCTATTGACTTTTGACTGACTGTCAGTGGAATTGTGTATTTACTCTCGAGCTGCGGTGTAAATCAAGTGGGAGAAATTAGTGGGGGTGGTAATAGTGGGTTCACAGAAAATGGCATCCGCCCAAGAGGAAAACTACCATCACCTGATGTTAGCTGTGAGTACTTTTCTGGTTAATACAGCAGCTTTGAAGGAATGAGCCGTCTCTCAATCTCTTTCTGCTGACATTCTCTTTCTCTTTTCTGCGTTATATTTCTGGGGTATGGGGCTACTTTCTTAAATCCAAGTTCCTGAGAACTGAACTTTTTTTCAAGAGAAATTTCTTTTTTCATCCTTGGCCAGCTGAATATCTGCCTCTACATATGAATTTGCATGCCTACTTGTCAGTCTTTCTGCTTGTCCAGGTTGTTATCAAAATCTTTCCTTGTGGGGTGTTTAAAATACGTCCTTCATCCATCTCTTGTTTTTCACATTTTAAATTCTCTTCCTAGTGTTGCCTTTCCCAAAATCTCTCTTTGCTTTTGATCAGTCTTCCTCTTGTCTGCTTACTGAACAGCAAGAAGAGTGAAGAAGAAAGAGGGCTTACTAGAAATCTGATGGCAACTGATGTTCTATTCTTATTTAATTAAATTTAATAACAAAGCTTGACTGGAAATACAAGGATTTTCCTGCATAATGGTTTCAGAAAACTGAGCTAGTTTTAAACTAGTTTGTACAATCTAACCCTGACCAGAGAAGATTTAAGATAAAGTAACTTCTCCAGCCCAAAAAGCAGTGTTTACTTCTAAACTAATGTCTGTTTGATTAAGGTGGGATGCAATTTACTTTAGTATTTCATTGTCCTTTTAATATTTAAGTGCCCCTCAATTATGTTTCAGTCAACCAAGACTGCATGTGTGTTGATGCCAGTAATGCAGTACAGTGAGCCTGCAAGTCTTTTTGTAGTGAGGTGGAAAATTCCATTCCAGTGCTTTTATTTCCATTGTCACCTATTTCTGTAACAATATCAAGGTTTGTAATATGCATTTTAATAAATGTAGCTGCTATTAATGTATTTGTAAAGTCACAGATTTTACTTATCCTTTACAGCTACTCTTTAGAACAAACTGAACAGTTTCTGAACTGTGTTCTGGAGGCAGATCCTGTAAAAACAGTTATAGCTCAAGAAAGTGTTCAGCAAAATGAAATTGTTTCTTCCTACAGTGCTGCAAAGAACCGGGAGAAGAAGGTATTTTTATTTTTTTTTAAATAGCAGTTACAAACACATCCAAAACTATGTTAATGAAAACACCGTATAAGGTATACTTAGCTTCAACATTGCAAATTCCTACAGGCAAAAAAAAGTAAGGAAGAGGATGATCCTTTGAGTGAAGTATTTCAAGAATTTGAGTATCCACAATATGACGATTTAAGAGCAGAAGCTTTTTGTCACCAGCAAAAGAGACAGGAATGTTTGAAAAAGGCTGGGGAGGCCTATCGCATGGGTATGAAGCCTGTGGCAGCATTTTATGCACATCAGGTAAATGTAAATATTGTGCTTTTTGCCTGAATTTAGAGAGGTACTTAAATACTGAATTGGAAGTGATAAGAAAAACATTGTGCCTACTGGAGTTGATAAATTTGCTCAATTACTGTTCCCTGTGTAAGTGTTATATTGAGAATCACCTTACAAGTAAACTTCCTTTCACTAATAATGATACTGATACAGGAAGATAATGTAACCAAATTCAGTATGAGACCTCATGAAAGATGATATTCAGTGCTTAGTCACACATGCTCGTTTTCTCATAGATCTCACTCTCGCATCCACATACTCGTAAGCACCAAGATTTGTGTCCGTGTAGTCTGGCCAGGTTCACTCATGTGTGTCATGGACTGCAACGATCATCAGTTTTCGAATCCTCTGTATGTCCCTTGGGTTCATCTTAATTGGTGATGAAGTGTTTTTAGACACGTCTTTTGTATTTTTTAGGAGTCAGACAGGTATTAAGATGTGATCTTTTGCTTCAGAATCTTACTTGCTTCATCCTCCCTAAATCTTGGGCAAGATTGCTGCCTGCTGTCTTTGCTTCCTCATTCTGACTATCTTTATGGCTACGGTCTGTCTTGGGTTGGGATAAATGTGGTGTCATATGCCATGCTTTTTGCCATCCATCTGGTTTTGGAGTGTAGATCTGCTGCTAATCAGTCTTGTGTGCTCTGGCCTTGGAGCACAGGCTCTCTGGTCTTGATTCGAGCACATTTCTCGGTATATACAAGTCTGATTACTGTTGATCATTGCTGTTGATCATATTCTTGATTATATGTATCAACTGTTCTTGTAACTGTTCCTCTATGTTGGTTTCTCGGTGCCTTCACACGAGACCCTTCCATTCACACTTCATTCAGACCACTCTTAAAAATTCCGATACAAATATCTTCAAAGGCTGTAGCGTTTCCCTGATCTAATAGCATATAAAAATTTGGTAGGAATTCACATTATAGAAGCATTTAATTCTAAACTATGAATTGCATTAGGACAGAACAAAAATGTAATAATGAATCACTTGAATTTGCTTATTACCTTAAAAAAGCTTTCATGCAATTGGTATAACGTATCACTCAATGTTTAATTGTTACTATGCATGTAGGAAATAGTGATTATCGGTCTTTATAATGAACTCTTTATGTTCTTTATTTATATATTCTTGAAGATTGGAGAGATTCTAAACAAAGGTCTGCATGATTTCAAATAGAAATGTAATTTGAAGTCCTGTCTTACTTTTGTTCGTAGCCATAACGACAAGTACAATCTGGAAATTTATTATATGTTTTCTTTTAGGTAATAAAAAGGCAAACTAAGCTACCTTTATTCATGAAAAATACTTTATGCTTGGTGGCCTTAGCATTTCTTGGGAATCCTCTGCAAGTGAGAATTACGGGGTTGGTGTCTCTGGTCTGACACTAATACACTTCAGATGATCCATTTTAAGAAAGTGTAGGACAGACTGTCACTTCTGTTCTCTTGAGCCCTTGTCAGTCCAATAACTGGAGTTAAGTCTTCCATTCCTTTTCAGATTGTGCCTACCGATCTTTGAAGACATAATTTGTTGCTTCAGTCTCTCAGATACTGTCACTGCAAGGTTCATGGGAAATAGTTGGTAATTGTTCACTGAGTAATGTGTAATAACCCTGTACTGCTCCTTGCCCCTAATTCCCATAGGGACTGTATTGACCTTGTCAGTCATAAAAGATCTGTCAAAAATATTAGGAGGGATAATAGGCAACTATTTAAAAAAAAAAAAAAAAAAAGAAAAGGAAAAAAAAAAGTGTTTGCCCTTGGCTTGTCTGATTTTTAGGGATTGCATTCAGAAGAATTAACCTCAGCTATAACACTCAGCAGGTTTTTCCTGGGCTGTTGGGCAGTTTCTCTGACATTGTTTCATTAAACTTTTAGCAAAATACTTTAAAAAAGTAAAATTCTATTGTTAGGATAATAAATCTGAAAATCAGCATGGAGTGTAACTTTTTAGCTTATGTAAAGACCTTATGGTTTTGTGCCTTTTCTGGCTTCTTTTCCTTCTTGTAAGGTTTTTGTTATAATTTCTTCTTTGTGCCAGCTTTGACTAGTTTCTTAAGAACAGATTTCATGAAATCTCCTTGTGAGTAGGTCTCACTGAGCCTCTTCCAGAAGTTCTGTTGCGATTATAAATTTTACTGCTTCAAACTGTGAGCTAAAAGCACCCTGCCAGTACTGTCATTTTGAACCCAACGATCAGTGTGGAGCTTAGATTATGTCTCAGCGTGTAATAGTTGCTGTGCTTATGAATAAAGGGTCGCCTTCATGAGCAGAAGATGAAAGAAGCCAACCATGCTGCTGCTGTGCAAATCTTTGAGAAAGTAAATACTTCCTTGCTGCCTATGAATGTGTTGGATCTGCATGGTCTCCATGTGGATGAAGCTGTGAATCAATTGTCCAGAGTGTTGCAGGAAAAAAGTGAAGGTAGGAATAAGCTAATAATCCCTGTCCCCTAAAAGTTATTCCCCTCATTTGCTACTAAGAAATCATGATATATGGCAATATCAGATGGAATGAATGTAATTTAATAACATGTAAAAACAACTGGCTTTTGTGTTGTTTTATTTTCAAAGTTCCCCCATGGAATTGTTTTTCTTTGACATGGCAATGATTCTTTTTGCTCTTTGTCTTCTGCCCCACCCCACCCCCCCCGTGCTTCTTTGTAAATCTTCCTTTTCCTTCTGCTTTATCCTTTACTTTTTTTTTTTTTTATTGAAGACTTGATCTATCCTTCCTGGCATTTTTAACAGAGGTGGTAATGCAAACATTTGTGTTGTCTTTGCATTGCTCTGTCAAAACTATGTTGCTTTTTTAATCTTTAAAGAAAAATCATTATGTTGGAATTCTAATCACAATGATTATATTGCCTTCAACTTTTACATGAAAGTGTGTGATTTGTGCTGTCTTTCAGTAACTTCCATATCGATTTGTTAGCAGGATCTCTTGAGATCAGAATACTGCTGCTTCCATAAATGTAATTTTGTGCAGTTTTGCTTGAGGGCTTGTTTTCTCTCCCAATGGAGTGTTCAAGTACTTCATGAGTGTTCTTGCTGTAAAAAGATACATTTTCTGCATTATTAGTTTACCCTATAAATTTAAGCACACTGGAAATGCTTTTATAAGAAATATTTCTTACGCAAGGTACCACTGCACAAACGTAATTTTTTGAAACAGCTACTCCGCACAGTAGAAACAAAAGTGATCAGCTGGGCCTTAGATAATCCTTTTCTTTCAATATACATCAGAGATAATTAAATTGCATTATCTTGTGCTATTCCTAAAATGATGTCTGTATATTTTAAGCTGTAACCTAATGCTTTTTAGAGCTAAATTTCCTGAACTGCACTTATATCAGGAGACCTGGAATGATGGTAGAGGCTCTCTGTTGAGTCCATTCACCTAAATCTAAAAAAAAGTTCATTTCAGTGTGCATACATGGGAAAGGGATCAATACTGGGCACTTAGTGCTGGCAGAATTAAGAGTAAACTAATATAAAACCCAAATCAAGTTAAGCAACAGAGAGAGAGAGGGTAGCTGAGGAAAGATGTCATGTGAACTGATAATCTCAAGCTGGCAAATCTTGGCTTGTTGAGAGAATCCAGTTTAATTTTTTTTTTTTTCTCATTTTCAAACTCTTCATCAATTTAGGTTGCTGTGATCTCTGGGAGAAGAGCAGTTTCTTTTCTTATCAGGGCTAGATGCCCTTATAAAGCTCATGTAATGTGTTGATCTGTTGATTCACATATTCCAACATAGCAGAAGTTAGTCCAAATAAGTGTGACTTAAATGTCAAAAAGTGTGTGGATTACGTTTCCGTTCTTCTTCCTTTCTTTATCCAATAAAATGTTATTTCTTTATTCACATTAATTTAAGAAAAACGTGAAACAATAGAGAGAAGTGTCACTTAAAAATCAACTGAATTACACCCACCTCTTTTAATTTTGTAGTTTTAATTTGCATCGCAGGATGTAAATTCCAAGTGAAGATTAGATGATAGAAACAATAAAGCTGCTATGAAATTAGAAGGGTTTTGTGATGATCACAGCATGCATATTGCAAGCAATCTAGATTTAAAAAGCTGACTGTATTTTTTCAGAATATCTTCTTCAGAAGAGGGGAAAAGTGGCTATGTTTGTGTAACAGATGCGTAGCCAGCATGGGAAAGCAAAGTTCTAAATCACTAGTGAGAGTCTTCAGAAGAATGGATGGGAAGGTTATACTGAACGCAAAGTCTCTGCTGAGAGAAAATTTTAACTGTTACAATCCCTGCTATTACAGAGTACCAGCAGACTGGTGGTAAGCCCTATCTCAGTGTTATCACGGGAAGAGGAAGCCATAGTCAGGGAGGAGTTGCTCGCATTAGACCAGCAGCTATCAGATACCTCACAAGCCACAACTTCAGGTGAGTTTAGATTTTTGTTACTGATACATTTTTTTCTTAACCCACATTTAACTAACTGAAAATTGAAGTTAGTTTTAGAATACTGTTAAATTACCAAACAGATTAAGGCAGGTCTGCTGTTTCAGATTAAGTAAGTCTGCTGTTTCATAAATCCAATGCAATTGTGTGACACAAAACCATCTTACACAGGGCACCTGTTAAATGTTAGATTCTCTCCTCTCAGATAGATTAAAACACTATAAATTAAACTTATCTAACATAGTTTAATTATATATTTCCATTCAAGGTTGCTAGCTTTACTGTGAAAAGTTGTTAATCCTGTTTTTTATTGATCTCCAATACCTGCTTTAGCTCTCAGCTTCTTAGTGGGACAGCAATTTAGCAAGTCTGGGCTGGCATCAGCGTGTTTGCTGCTTTTTCTTTACAGGAGTGTATGAAGGTGACTGTGAAGGTGGGACTCAGAAATAGCAAAGACTTCCCATTTTCTTCTTACTTTCTATAGAAGACAAGGGAGAAAATCTGTTCTGAAAGAAGAGGGAATGAAAGGGGAGCAGGAAAAGAGGAGCAGAATGAATATAACCAAGAATATTGGGCAGCTTTTTTTTTTTTTTTTTTTTAAAATCTTCCTCTTAGTTCCTGCTGTTTCCAGCTCTTCACCTCTCCAGACCCTGTAAAATCCGCCTTCACTGTCACATCCAGAAGACATGGTGCTGATTTCCTGACTCTCACACGCACACATACTTGGCTGAGAACCTTATCACTTTCCATATGTTCGATGAGGGCTGAAGGAGATGGCATTGCACGTAGCTTTCATGTTGAAGCTTCATCTTTTCTCGTTTCACAGGTTCACAGAAATAAAACCAGGCTGCCTGAAAGTCATGCTGAATTGAAGGGTTGTCAAGAAGAGAAGAGGAATATAGAAACTGAGGTGTCAGATTACAGCTAAAGACTTTTTGAACACTGCAATAGTATTTTGTAATCTGTTTTAAAGGATGATATTTTAAAAGAAATGGTCTCAATTTACATCGAGTGGTTTTGCCAGTATGTTTCCAAGAAAATTTTTGTGTGGAATGGATCCTTTTTTGAACCTGCAAAAAGAAGACACTTACAGGATTTGAAGTCTCAGAAATGCAGATTCAGAATTCTGCTGAGCAGTATATAATGTTTTAAAGGGAAGTTAAGGTACAATTTTTAAATATAACTGTCTACTCAGCATACCCAATATACGTCTTTCGACCCTCACACATTTTAATTGCTGTGGATTCTGTGCTTCTAAAATGTAGTACCATGTACAAAGTTATTTTGTGACTCAGAACTTTGTGCTAAACCCTTCAGAAGAGCACTGGGAAGGTGGGAACTTGGTAATTACTGATATTTCAAATCCGGTTACAGCTGAGTGCTAAATATTTCCAGGTTTCTTCAAAAGTCTGACAGAGTCTTTCTAGTGGTTATTTTGTGATGGGCTGACCAGTTCTATTGTCCTTATTCCATTCTAAACTTCCCCTGATATAGATGGAAATTGCATATAAAGGACTGTGCATTAAGACCAGCTGTGTGTTTGGTAATTTTGCAGATTTACTGTGATCCATTAAAGGGAAAAATACAACGCTGTAGTTCAATCTCTATTTACACATAGCTAATACTGTAATTTTGCAGGAACTGCCCTTACTTTTTTCAACATCTACTGGATTAAAAGTGTTTCTTCCTTTATGGCTTTTTAAATGGAGCAAATTGAGTACTGTTTCACTTTACAGGTGTCTAATAGTGATGTGTCTTCATTCTGTGTGTATTAAATTTGGTGATTTCCTTGTAGAAAATATGATTGTCTGTGAGACATTTTAAATGTATTTTTAACATCAAATGCTAATACTACAGTAGTAATTGCCTAACTGGAAAGTCTGGGAGTACAAAAGTTATTCTGTTGTTGGTGCTGTTGCATCAGCATCTAGAAATACCTGCGTTAAAAAATAAAACAACAACAACAAAAAAAGCCCCAAACAAAAACCCCCAAAATTAAATATAAACATCTGTACTTTGGCAAGTGTTTCCAGTAAGCGATCAGAACATTTTTTTAATAGAAATATCTTCTAGAATGCATTACTACTTTTAATTACATTTTTGCCTCTTGAAAGGCATATGAATTTTTTACTGTAAACTGTTTAATTTTTGTTGTAAGGCTTTTTCAGAACAGGTATGAGTTGTGTATTAGGAATATTAATAGGTTAAGGAATAATAGGAGGGTTTTTTCATTTCAAACCACTTTTGCAGTAAATTTTATCCAGGAACCACACGCACATAAAATTTGTGTATGAATCCATATGTGTATGCAAGTTCTGCCATTTGTGTGCATGGGTAGTAATAAGCAAGGAACTTCTGTGAGAAAAGCTGTGCACAGAAATAGGTTTCACTTGAAAATGTCTGTATAAGTTGCTGACAAACTGAAAGGCATGATGTTTCCTGAATACCCGTATTTACTGTAATTTATACACAGTGAATGCAATGTACGGTAGATTTAAAAATGAGTTTGTCATGCTTCAACAGATACAATAACCTTTTCATGGTGATTTCAAGTGGAGGAATAGCTTGAATAATATTTAATCAAAGGGACTCTTACTGGAATAATAGACCACCATAGTAAGTTTTACATTTTTTGTGGGTACTTAGTTCATCTGAATTGTGTCCCTTCTCTTTTTCTTTCTCTCTGGGCTGCTCTGGTAACCAGTGGGTGCAATACAAAAGATCTGTGCTCCCCAAACAGCACTAGCAGAGCTGTTCCTGCCACAGCATGATGTCCTGTGCGGTGAAGCCCATGCTCCATCCTCTGTGGCAGTGCCTAAAATGGACTGAGATGTCATTTAGGCACTTGGACTCGAGACAGCAGTTCAGACTACCACCTGTCCAGGATTGCAGATGCTAGAATTGCCGCAGCAGAGCTAGGGTCTTTCTTTTGGACCAAGGAACTTCCTTCTGCTCCTGAACAGGTTTTCCTTAGTTCTACTGTTTATAGTGAACGGAGGGGCAGCTCTTTAAAATGTAGTCCCTGTTGGTTGACCCGCGTGGCTGAGTTGCCCAGCAAAGGTCCCAGTGTATGCTCAGAAGTGTTGCATGTTGAGCTGCTGGGTGCCCGAGCCCTACAGCAATGTGCTTGTAAACAGGGAAGTGCCAACACTTCTGGTTGTTTTGGGAGGGGGCCTGATTCACTCAGCATATTCACACCATTCCCGACATGGACAAAACCAGCTTAGATTTCAGTTCAAAAGATGAGCAGAAAAAGTTGTTTTCTTGCCCATCTGTTCATCGTAATCTAGTTGTTGGCAAGTTTACCCTGGAGATGAGAAACACAGCTTTTTACCTTCTTCTGGCCTAGCAAGGGGATGACAATTGCACTTGACTCGCACTTCCCCAGAAAATGCTCTAACCAGTGTGCTCAGGAGTATTCTTGAAGTCACAACTTCTTGAGCCTCTTTCAAAAACTGCAAGCTAAAAATGCAAGACCAAGGGGACAAAAGAGATTAAAGAATAAAAAGTGCATAAACAGTCTCTGGAAGAGGGCTAGGACTCTTCAGAAAAGAAGCTGTTCCCAATGAGCTTCAATGTCCCTCCATATTATTTTTTCATCTCTTAGTCCTATTTGGTTAAATGCATAAAAAATATTCAGGGCAAAACCTCAGCTCCACCCCTTACTATGAGAGTTTGTTTTCTCCAGTCTGTCAAAGTCAGCAGAGGAGCATATAGCTTAAGAGCAATTTGGAGTACTTCTCTCTCTCTTTCTCTCCATTGCCCCTTTGGCTACAGGTTGAGGTTCACTAAGGTACTCAGAATACCCTATCTGGTTGTAGGTTGATCATTTGCGTAGTATAAATTGTTTGATTGTAGGCTGAACTTTGATGGAAGATGATGGTTTAAAATCGTAACACGGGCAGAACCACTCTTGCCTTTATTGAAGTTAGTGACAGAGCCTCCACCACCTTCAGCAACTCGGGGTGAGGCATTGCAGTTCCAACTCAGAGAAAATATGAAGAACTCAGCCTTTTTCTTCTGTAGGAGCTTAAGCATGTGCTTAGAAGCTGTGCTGAGCTGGATACAGAATGGAGCAGAAGATCAGTGCACAGAGAGAAAGAAAGCAGACTTTTATTACTAAGGATCTCCATGCCTTCAGCTACTTGCCGAACTGTCCAGAAAAAAACCACTGGACTTCTTGTATTTCTTTGACTGTTTTTATAATGTATAGTGGGATGAATTATATCAAATACAATTGTTTCAAAATGGTATTTCAAAGTAGGTTACATTTAGAACTTTCAGCTTTTCTGATGTCTTTTGCAGTTATATCAGTGAGAATCCTGAGGCATCGTGTAAATTCTGTATCATCCTATACTTTTGATTAAAGTAGCACTTAGCAGTATTGCCACCAGCACTCTGAAATAATGTGCGACTGTTAAAATACCTATTTTGTGTACCACTTTTTATTCAATTCTTCAACAGCATGTGGTTGTGATGAATGGTAGCCTTTAATAGGTGACTTTTGGATTCTTTTTTACAAAACATTTTAACATTTATCCCAATTCTTAATTTAGGAAAATTACCTTTTTTTTAAATACAAAATTTAATGCTAGCACTGATGAGTAATCTTACAGTAAAGAAAAAAAAAGGCTCAGAGATGCAATGAAGAAAGTTGTTCTAAGTAATGTGAGTGTTTAAAAATATATTTCAGTTGATTGTGAAAGTAGTAGGGCAAAAGTGATTTTTTAAAAAATATTTCAAGATACCTTGATAACATTTTAATGACTTTGGCTTTTGCTTTTAACAGTATGTGGTACAATTTTATTTAAACTTAATGTTTTTATAGGCCTGTTGAAGGACACCTCAGGCAAAGTTTAACTGGCATTTTTCTGTGGCTGTTGGAAACCATTGTGACTTGGGAATCCCCATTTAAACAATGTTCAGATGCTCTAGTCATAACCTAGAACGTCACTAGAACTAGAACATCTGGAACATCACTG